CTTCTTCCTCTTCTAAGTCCACAATCTCTTCTTCACCCTCTCATTACCTGACTTCTCAGTATCTGCGGACTACGACAGAGAGAGAGAGTTGTGACTTTGGGACTTGACGACATTGGATCCAGACTCGACATTGGGATTCAGACATTTGACGAGGGATTATTTGGGGCCTGTGCCGAAGACTTGGTGTTGACGACATTCCCATCTTCCCCTCTTCTTCGTCTGACCCCCCTCTTCTTCGTCTGTGTATGGTTGGGGACTGCCGCATTCTTCCTGTGTGAGCGCCAGGCCCCTTCACACCATGGAATAATGATGATGTATGTTTGAGGCTGCATTGCAACATTGATTGTTCGGATCATTGGTATCTAAGTCTTCCGCTACGCTATCTTGTACTTCATGAGAGAGTTCGGCTCTTGTTCTGGTCTGCACCTTTACGGTATGCAACAGATGGCCATGTGGACGTTGACGACATCCTGGAACATAGTGACTTGCCTGTTCCCAAGCCTGTCGGCACGGGAGGACCGCCAAAACCTATGAGGGAGTACCGGGTCAGATTCAGGCATCATACAGATCCAAAAGAAGATCGTTGGTTCACAAGAGAGGAGCTTGTCAAAACAGCACCTCAGGTCATGGCAGTGTACGGACGGAAGTTGGGAAAGCACCTGGGTAGAAGCATCTCCACGGATTTCCGAAGCTAAGGGGGATGGAATGAGAGGATTGAGCCCTCAAAAGGCCCCTTTTGGGCACACAGACGTTTTTGGCTTAGGCCCCCAGCAAGCCTCGTGCCCGCCCTAAGTGAAGGCAGGCCTGCACATCCATGTGAGGCCTATTTTCACCAGTTTTCGTACATGGGGTAACAGACAGTTGCAGCGCGCCAGTTGGTTACAGAGCAACGTGAACCTTCTTGAGCCCAGGGCTCATTCAGTTGAGGCCCTGGGCACAGGCAACCAGAGGCTGACAAGTCATGTAGAGGCCACGGACCAATGAGAAAGCAGCACCGTTGTCACACACATGCCGCGAGCCAATGAGATCGCAGGAACTGGGGCACTGGATACTGTGGGCCCTTGTAACTGTCTGAAGGGCCCAGGGTACAGACACTTTGGCCCAACGCGAAGCTACTGGGCTGCAGCCCAGCAGGCCAAGCAGAGGCCGAAGCAGGGCGCACTTTCCATAAAGGAAAGCGCCTGCCCCAGCTTCAGGCATTGGGGCCTGGGCAGGAAATGCGGCCACGCTGCTACTTTGCCGTGCAGTAGCTGTGCTAAGCAGGCAGGCTGGACGTGCGCACGGGCGCAAGAGGTGAGAGGGAGCGCTGCGGTGGCAGCAGGCGCACGGTGGCCATAGCCGGGCTGCGGCTGTGGAGACAGGTGATGGCGATGGCGGTCTTCAGGAAGGAGGCACATGCAGAGGGGAGACAGGGGGTGATGAGGAGAGGAGTGAGACACGTACCTGGTGTATGCTGCCGGTCTGCATAGGCGATTGATGTCACGTAAATTGGTCTGCAACTTCGCTGTGCTCCTGTTGCAAAAACGTAGATTGTGCTCTCTGCTTGGTACATGATTACCTGGGCTACCTCGTGATTTTGCGATTTGGACTTCTGTCTATCGCTCTCACTCATATTCCTTGCAAGTACACAGCTCTGTGGACGGGCACAGAGTGCACAATGCATAGACGACGGAATGGTATGTTCTGTAGATGGGTACATAGTACATAGTAAGTACATAGACAATGGAATGGTACACTCTGTGCATGGGTACATAGTACACAGTACATAGACAACCGAATGGAATGTTCTGTGCATGGGTACATAGTACACAGTATATAGACAACGGAATGGTATGTTCTGTGAGTGGTTACATAGTACATAGTACACAGTATATAGACAACGGAATGGTATGTTCTGTGCATGGGTACATAGTACATGGTACACAGTATATAGACAACGGGATGGTATGTTCTGTGAATGGTTACATAGTACACAGTACCTACTTGATAGTACATGCTACACATATAGACAAGTGGATGGGTTCATAGCACATAGTACATAC